CCCAAATCTTATAATTATTTTTAATCTTTCTATATGTCGCTACTAATTTATCCCTACATCTTTTAGCTAAAGTTTCACATGCCCAAAATAATTCCTCCATATCGTTATAATTCAAATAATTCCTCAACTCAATCTTAATTCCACTCTAGTAGCCATATAAATCGAAATAAAAGCATGCTATGCACATAACTCGAATTTAATATGAATATCGATAATCCACATAGCAGTATATATATATTTTTCCTAATTACGTGGGATGTTACAGCGGGAAATTCATCTGAAGACAGAGCTGTCGCGCTACAAGCGCGAGATCCGCACTAGTAGCGTGGGAAAATTTTCACAAGACAGCATTGCCGTGCTACTAGCGCGAGATTCGGGCTAGTAGCGCGGGATTCAGCTACCTTTGTTATTTTTACCGCGTTAGTAGAGCGGGAAGCACGTGACTAATTTTTAAATAGATCCAATTACAATTTAAGCAGGATTCTACCTCAAATATTTGATCAAGATTTGGATAGATTTGACATTAAGCTATATAAAGGGGATGTAAGCCCTTATTGGTCATCTTAGAGAGAGATCAAGAAATTGAAAGATTCTTGCAGACTTACGCTGGAGATCAAGATTTCAGAGAAATTGAAGATTGAAGACCTTTGTGAAGACCTCTTCTTCTTCTTCTTCTTCTTCTTTTCTTTTCCTTAATGAATATTTTTTATTTTTTGTTGTGTTTAAGTCAGATATCTCTGGCTAATTTCCTTTTGTAATTAAGGTTATGGATCCGATGTGAATCCTTTATGAGTTCTGAATTGTTTTTATAATTATTTTAATTCAATTAGTTTAATTTTACCTTGCATGAATTTTATATAGCCTTATAAGATCTGATCAATTTTATAGGGTTTTGAGGGTTAGAGCTCGCAATAGGCAAATTGGGATTTTAATCTTGACAGGGGTAAAATAACAATTTGTGCATGATCTAGACATAGGCATGTATGAATTGCAAACTTTTTAATTCATCGAACTTAATGCTTAAATCAAGAAGGATCACTAGGACACTAGGGTTCTAATTGGGTTAAAGAGTTAAATACTCTAAGACATTAGGGTTTAACTAATTAATTTAAAGAAGATGAATTGTTTGAACTGTTGTAATTATAAGAACTAATTCAGATTTATATAGGAGGATCAAATGTGAAGTATACATTGACTACAGTTTGTCATTACAGTTTCTTTGCTCATATCTCTTCTTTGCGCTCTTGAATATTCTTGAATGTTCTTGATTTTTTTTGCAATTACTTTTGTTCTCTTATTTTTATTTTAAGTCAAAAATTATTCTCAACAACTAAATTGGAATGTCCAAATTAAAGGGAATAGTTAGAATAGTACTTGGTGCTTTAATCCTCGTGGGACGATACTCTTTCTCACTACTTTATTACTTGAAACGATCAGTATACTTGCTGTAATCACAACAGAAATCTACGGATAAGCGATAATAGAGGCAGCGAAGGCTAATGTAAGGACTTGAAAACGTATTCTTATATACAAAACTTGTGGGGAAAAAGGGAATCTGAAACGTCATGAAGAGGTATTTTGAAGACTACAAGCTAGGAAATCACACTTGTGGAATTAAAATATCGAAAATCATTATCTCATTTTACATGAGATAACTATCTCTTATTGGAAAAAATCTTCGGCGCTACTGTTGCACCAAGATACAGTGCATCACATCAATGAGAGCATTAAACATCATAAGAGAGAGAAAAAATTTGGCAGAGAAAAGAAAACTTTAACTGATTTGTAATATTTCTATTGGTGGGATGTACTGAATCTTTGGTGCAACAGTAGCACCAAAGATTTATTCCTCATGTTGTTCTCACATAAAAAATTGTGTCACCATTTTTTTCTTTTTTTAATAGGTAGTGGGCCCCACCACATCATGTGTCTATAGTAGGAGATAACTATCTCCAACAACATGAAAAAATAGAATCCCTTAAAATATTCTCTTAAATAAAAAATTCTAAAGTTTTGTTTATAAATTATAACATACACAAATACACAATCTCAGTGAGATCGATAAACCAAAAGGCCAAGAATGTAACCCCCTATGATGCACGGACACTGACACGGGACACTGAACACGACGCGACATGACATGACACGCCGACACGTTAATTTTCAAAATGACATTTTTCGACATGTTGGGATACGTTTTGATATTAAATAATATTTTCAATATATATAATATAATTTATATTTAATACATATAACAGTCCATAATGAGTCATATAACCAATCAAATATTCAAATTTTATAACATAAATATAAAAAAAATAATTTTTCGTACCTTGTTAATTTTTCATGTCAAATTTCATAACATAAAAAAAAATATTTATAAATGATTTTTTTTATTTTTAGTTAATAAAAAAAAGACAAAAAAAACGTGTCTGAGCGTGTCCAGGCGTGTCCGAGCGTTAACCACGTGTCGAAAAAAGTTGACTGTGTGTCAGAAAAACGTGTCGGAGCGTGTCGAAGAGTTGACCACGTGTCCCAAAATATTGATCTCGTGTCAGACGCGTGTCGGAACGTGTCGGAGCGTGTCCGTGTCGGACACGTGTCTGACACGCACATTTTGAAGAAAAACCCGTGTGTGGGTATCAGAGGTAACCCCAGGGTGTAAATAAAGAATGAAAGTTCAATAGGTCTTTACTTGCTTTTTCCCTTATACATGTATGGTTGACTTTTAGACTTCATTCATAAATTTTCACGCTCGGGATTTTCAAACCATACGCGTGTCAGAACGTGTCGGAGCGTGTCCGTGTCGGACACGTGTCCGACACGTACATTTTAAAAAAAAAAAAAACCCATGTCCGCGTATCAGAGGTAACCCCAAGGTGTAAATAAAGAACGAAAGTTTAATAGGTCTTTACTTGCTTTTTCCCTTATACATGTATGGTTGACTTTTAGACCTCATTCATAAATTTTCACGCTTGGGATTTTTAAACCCTTCCATGGACGAAGAAAAAGTAAAAAATTCTGAAAACTTCTTTCATACTTTTTTTTTTTTTTTTTTTGTAAACAACTTCTTTCATACTTGACATAATATTTTTCTACATGCTACTACATATCTTTCTCATTGATGATGAGATAAGAAAGAGAAAAATATGTTTTTTAAATGAGTGACTATGATCAAATAACATAACTACATGACCAGTTCAATTGAGAGGATCCAAATCCATTTGTGTATGTTAGAAAAATGGATTGGGGTTTTGTAGTTGAAAAATGATAGCAAAGAATGTTGGAATATATTTAAGTGTGATAAGTTGCACATTGGTTAATAATTGACTAAGTGAAGTGAATATAGGTGGATGGACCCATAAATCCAATTCTTTAAGATTTTTGGTCGTAACATGGTGTCGAACTCACTTGATATGGTGGTGAAGCTTTGGGCCCCATTGGTGGTGGTCCCTCGCCATGGGCTCCCCCTGGAACCACCTGACAGTTGTATCAGAGCCGAGTTGGGCTCGGGCTAGTCAGGTGATTGACTAGAGGTGGGTTGAGTATTTGGACCTTGAGGTACTTGGTTGAGGGAGAGCATATAAATGTTGGTTTCACACTTAAGGGGGAGGTTGTTGGGATATATTCAAGTGTGATGAGCAAGGAAGCACGGACACTTGTAAAAATAGGGAGAGTCGTGTACGCTCCGACACGGCGACACGCTCCGACACGGTGTCGGACACGCGGTCAACTTTTTCCGACACGTTGACCATTCTGACACGCGAATTTGACCGTGTCCGACACGGTCAAATGACATTTTCGTAATTTTTTTTTGAATTTTTTTAAAAAAAAATTATTATTTTTTTTAAAAATTAAAATATATTAATAAAGCTTCCACCTGATCATATCAATTTTTATTCTTTTTTCTTTTTTCCCCTTAAGTAGATAAGAGATCATCTCAACATCATTGTTGTCAATTCCTATCACGCTCTTGTTGTATCTCCTTGTCTCTGATATCTCTCTTTAATATGATTTGATCTCTCTATCTGATATTATATATCTCTCTCATCCCAGTTCTTATTTTTTTATTAAAGCTTCCATCTTTATAACATGTTGATGGGTATTATTAATTTAGTTTCATTTTTTTGTTAAATTATTAAATATTAAATGAAATATACACTATATAAATTAAAAATCTTATTTAATATTAAAACGTGTCCCAACATGTCGAAATCTATAATTTTTTAGTATTGATGTGTCGGAGTGTCGTGTCGTGTCGTGTCACGTGTCGCGTGTCGTATCGGTGCTACATAGGTGATGAGTCCCACATTGGTTGGTAATGGGCTAAGTGAAGTGAATATAGTGGATGGACATGTGAACCCAATGCTTTAAGGTTTTTGGTTGTGACATGATGTCGGACCCACTTATTATGGTTGGGCTAACTTAGCTCATTGGTGGTGATTCCCCACCACGGGCTCCCCCTGGACCATTCTGACAAAGAATCCTTAATATCACAAAACAAATAATTATACAATAAATAATAAAATAAAATGTAAGTTCAAAAATTTTAAATGCTTAAATTATAATTGTACGATCCTGTAATTTTTTTTTTTTTTTGATAACAGTAATTTTTTTTTTTTAAACTAGAGGCAATCGTGTTCCAAGAAAAAATAATTAACTAGTACTAGTAGCTTCAATAAATTTGAGTAGCCCAATTTTATGTTCAAAACTTGATTTGGAAAGTTTTTATTGCTTCAATCAATTCTCATTGATATGCATTCAATACTTCGAACCACATCATTTATGAGGCTCTCAACTACCAAAAACCATTTAACAACTCAACAAACAAAACTACATGTCTTTTCTATGCTAAGTAGCTTTGTGTAATCTGTGATGTACTATAATAATATTCATTATTATGTCATTTCTTTCTATAGCAATTGATTTAGCATGATGTATGAAGAGATGACGTGACAATTGATTAAACTAATCGTACTTGGGAACGATATATGAAAACATAGGTAACAAAATTATCTAATTCATATTTTGCAACAACACATGTTTATTCTGTAACATAAAGTACATAACTAACCCGTTATGCACTCAGTACATATATAGATGCAGTACTAGTCTTATTTAATTAGATATATAGTCTAATTTGTATGTGACGCTGCATCTTCATGTTGGAGAAAATCCATTTAACAGTTTCTGGTGCACCAACAGCGAAAATCATCCCTGCATCTGCCACTGATTAAGTGCTCTTTGTTCTTACAGTGATCATCACAGCTTCCAGTGGTGAAGCATGGACCCCTATACGTATCAGCCAGGTTCTCACAAGTTGCTGCCTCAGTTTGCACCACCATTTCTTCTGCACGTAGCAATGATCATTCATGTGAGATATTTGTCGAACCAAAAACGATTAATAACAAAGGAAGAAAAAAGAAATGAAACGAATAGGTGTAAAATATAAGGGTTTGGTGTTTATAGGATAAAGTTATGTCCTCAAACACTAAAATAATAATTGACATATCATCTCGATCTAAAATTTTAAAATATTAAGTTTATATATTTCTTCATTAATGTTGTCTTTATTTAAATAATGTAAAATTTTCTCACAGTTGAATACCAGATCACAAATTATTCCTTAAAAATTATATGAGCAAAACGCATAATAAAAATTATGCATGCTAGAGATATTTCCACCGATTTATCCATTACTCGATTAACCCGGTCGAGCCAAATAGGATTCTAAAAGTAGCAAATCTCTTCTTACCAAATTTTTAATACAATTTTACACCTATGACTTAAATTTGAAACCACTGATTAAATTAGAATAACTCAATAATAGTTGGTGCATTATTCTTTATAAATTATGCATCCTAAACAGTGATATATAAATATAGTGAGACTATATACACATGAAATAGAGTTAACTTTAAGAGTAATTACTTACGAGCAACAAAGAGAACGAGGAAGAGGAGGCACAATCCAGCAAGTGATTTCTTCTCCATGGCTTAGTTATTAACTTATATGCTATACGTGTGGTTGTGAAGTTGTGAATTCGTGATTATAGGTGGTCTGTGTTAGATGTATTTATAGCCCTCAGGGACTTGACGAGTAAGAGGGATCACAATTATTTTTGACAATGAAGTTGCCGAAAGAAAGAGACGTAAGCCGATCGAAACAAGAAGAAAATGGTTGAAGCAGATTCCAATAGTCGAGTATCAAGATATAATTAAATGCATTGTCGAGTTTGAATTTTCTTGGAGGAAAAATTCAACAATGTGTACAGAGTAGAGCTATCAAGATATAAATGCTTGATAGATTGAGTTGATGGATCTTTAGCTTCTTTCTAGATTTTATTTAATATGTGACGTGATATAATATATTAAAATTTAAGAATATATTTTTTTATTAAATTTTAAAAATATTTTCACTTTAAGAAAACCTTTTTAAAAATACTTGTCACAATTATATGTCTCTTATATTTCAATTTTTCGTTCACATGTTTATAGTAGTTTGTTATAAGATAAAACAAGAAAGAGAAGAAAATAAAATTGAATTTTTTCACTTTATTTCTCATAAAAAGGATATAATAAAAAGTGTAAAAAATAAGATGTTGGAATAATATTATACCTTGAATTCGAGTTGAAGGATCCCGAACTTCTTTCTAAATTTTATTTAATTCAGAATATAGGGTGATATTAACTTATTAAAATTCAAGATTACATCACCCACACAAAAAAAAATTCAAGATTAAATATATATTTTTTTATTAAAAAAATTGACTTTAAGAAATTTTTTATTTATTTATGTCACTATTGTATTTCTCTTCTATTTCATTTGTTCAAGCGCTGTGGAATTTTTAACACAGCTTTATGTCCTGTTTACTTTTCAACACAATAAATATGTGAGATGAGTATAATACAAAAATATAATATAAAATTATTAATATAATTTTGGATTTAATAATTCTCTTTTTACACGAGATATAATTATCTCTTATTACTTGTTATATTTTTAGAATTGTGTTAAGAAATTATAATAATAAAGAATAATTAGTCCAAACAAATTTAAAATTACAAAATTATTATTTTTCCATTTTAAAACGATGTCGTTTTGAATTATACGAAATAAATTATCTCATGTAACTGAAAAACTATTAAACTCGTAATTTTATCTCATAATTTAAATTTTTGAGTTATAATAATTGTTTAATGATATTTTGAATAATTTTTTATGAAATAAAAGAAGAAAGAGAGAATTAAAAAATAAATTCTTTCACTTTTTTTGCAAAAACATAAAATAAAAGTGTTAAAAATACCTTGTCGGTGTAAGATTACGTGCATGACTTTTCTCTTTCAGCCAGTTACTCATTAGTCAATGGCTGCTTGACTTCTATTTGCAATGCGGTCCATGTTTATCTGAGAGAAAAAAATTATTTAGGATGGGTTTGTTTTTTCTGCAGTTACATAAGTTATTTGTAGTAAGTTCAATACGACGTTGTTTTGGAGCGGAAATTATGGTGTATTTATAATTTTAATTTATTTCAGGATTATAATAGTCTTTATATTTATAATTTTTTAAAATTTCAATACCAAAACGATGTAATTATAAAAATAAATGCTAAGTTATCTGCATTAACTGCAGAAACATTTTTCCAATATATTAATTATATCAAATAGATCATTAATGCCTGTATATCTTCCCTAATACGTTTAATTACTCGAATGAAATATAATCCATTTCTTGACAAACAACCAGACGTGATATCTAAAATTATTTTATTTTATTTTTAATGTTTAGTAGTATTTTATTTATCATTTTAAGCTTTCGTGATATCTAAAAATTTTATTTTAGTATTTCTCTACAAAAAATAAAGAAACATCAACAATACCTTTATCCCAAATTAATTAGGGTCGATGGTAGATGAACCCAAATGAAAGATACAAAAAAATTGAAAAAAGAAACATAAAAATAAAAATAAAAATAAATAAATAAAATAGTAATAATAAATATATATATATATATATATATATATATATATATATATATATATATATATATATATATATATATATATAAGTAAAAAAGAAAGGAAAAAGAAGAAGAGGGGAAATGAAGGGAAAAAGGACTAAAAAGGGACCTTCCAGAACATAGGAATAACAACGGGTCTAACCCTCCACCATTCTTATAGCTTTTCTCCATTCCGTTCTAAAGCATACCGTCTGCCAATCTATATCCCACTCCATTAAATCTTGTTTTACTACCTTCCCCCAAGTAAGTTTCGGTCTACCTCTACCTCTTTTTGTGTTTAGCTCTTGGTAACAAACTTTTGTTCTTACGAGAGCATCCAGGGGCCTTCTCATTACGTGCCCAAACCACCTCAATCTATGTTCTCTTATCTTCTCAACCACCGGTAGTACTCCTACCTTTCGTCGAATATCTTCATTTCTTATCTTATCCATCCTCGTATAACCACACATCCACCTTAACATCCTCATCTCTACTACTCCCATTTTATGCTCATGTTGCCTATGTGCTGGCCATCATTCAGCTCCATATAGCATTACAGGTCTTACTGCTGTTTTATAGAATTTTCTTTTTAACTTAAGGGAGATTTTGTGGTCACACAAAAACCCAGATGCACTGCGCCATTTCATCCACCCTGCTCTGATTCTATGATTTGCATCCTCATCAATCTCTCCACCTTTTTGCAAAACGGAGTCCAGGTATTTAAAAGCGTCTTTCTTGGGTACCTCTTGATCACTTAGATGCATGAGATCTTGGTCTACATCTCTTACCAGAGAAAACTCACACTTCAGATACTCAGTCTTGCTTCGACTTAATGTGAATCCTTTAGATTCCAATGTGCTTCTCCAGAATTCAAGTTTTCTATTAACATCATTCTTGCTCTCATCAATAAGCACACTATCGTCTGCAAAAAGCATACACCATGGCACTTCTTCTTGAATATCTTTTGTTAGTTCATCCATAACTAAGGTAAAGAGATAAGGACTTAAAGCCGACCCTTGGTGTACACCTACCGTGATAGAAAAATAACTTGATGTTCCGTTACAAGCTTTCACACATGTAGTAGCCTCATCATACATATCCTTGATTGCCTTTACATACTTTGATGGTATCTTTTTCTTCTCCAGAACCCACCATAAAAATTTCCTTGGAACCCTATCGTATGCTTTCTCAAGGTCTATGAACACCATATGTAAGTCCTTCTTCTTTTCTCTATATCTTTCCATTAGTTGTCGCATCAAGAAAATGGCTTCCATGGTACATCTTCCTGGCATAAACACTACTAGAAAATACTTGTATAGTGATGGAATTGCTATGGAAATTCCATTCCTAATTTCATCATCGCTACTACTTTCCGTCACAAATTCCCTCACAAAATCGTTTGCAATGGAATTTGCGACGGAAAGTAGTAGCGAGGATGAAATTAGCAACGGAATTTCCATAGCCATTCCGTCGCTATACAAGTTTTTTCTAGTAGTGAAATCCAAATTGATTTACAGAAACCTTGGTATCTCTCCTCAAGCGATGCTCAATAACCCTCTCCCACAACTTCATAGCATGACTCATTAGCTTAATTTATGTCAAAGATTATTCATATATGAAGACAAAAATGAGATTCTATGGACTATGAAAGTAAATATCAACACACATTTGTGCTTGAAAATTGACAAATGAATGAGAGTGTGAAATTGAATCAAATAACACTATAAAATTCATAAAATAATAAATATTTTTAAGCTTTTTTTTTAATGGATTGACAAGCTAATCCGCCATAAAATGAGACGGATTGATATTTTCAACTCATTTTTGGCAAGTTGACCTACTTTGCCACCTATAACTGTGAGTTTGGACAATATCATCAGGTTTTGCATTGATTTGAATGAGTAATGCTGTTTCTTGAGTCTTTTTAAATTGGATACCCACTAATTAGTTTCTAAAATCCTCTTAATATTCATCATAATTTTATGTTTGTTGTAAAACTAGAAGAAATATAGTAAATATAAGAGAGAAAAAAAAGAAAAATGGAAGAGTGATATTTCTGTTGTATTCTTGTTGTATATTACAAGCTTTGAGCACGAATAAGCTATCAAGAATAAGCTTTAAGAATATATATATATTTTATTAATTTTTAAAAATATTTTCACTTCAAGAAAACCATTTTAAAAATACTTGTCACAATTATATTTCTCTTATATTTCAATTTTTCGTTCACATGTTTATAGTAATTTATTATAAGATAAAACAAGAAAGAGAAGATAATAAAATTGAATTTTCTCACTTTATTTCTCATAAAAAGGATATAATAAAAAGTGTAAAAAATAAGATGTTGGAATAATATTATACCTAGAATTCGAGATGAAGGATCCCGAGCTTCTTTCTAAATTTTATTTAATTCAAAATATAGGGTGATATTAACTTATTAAAATTCAAGATAGATTTCGCCCACACAAAAGAAAAATCAAGATTAAATAAATATTTTTTTATTTTAAAAAATTGACTTTAAGAAATTTTTTATTTATTTATGTCTCTATTGTATTTCTCTTCTATTTCATTTGTTCGTACAAGCGCTGTGGAATTTTTAACACAGCTAGATGAGTTTATGTCCTGTTTACTTTTCAACCCAATAAATATGTGAGATGAGTATAATATTAAAATATAACATAAAATTATTAATATAATTTTGAATAAATTATCTCTTATTACTTGTTATAGTTTTAGAGTTGAGTTAAAAAATTATAATAATAAAAACTAAATATTAAATTATCTCATATAACTGAAAAACTATTAAACTCGTAATTTTATCCCATAATTTAAATTTCTGAGTTATAAAAATTGTTTAATGATATGTTTTTGAATAATTTTTTATGAAATAAAAGAAGAAAGAGAGAATTAAAAAAATAAATTCTTTCAATTTTGTTTGCTAAAACATAAAATAAAAGAGTTAAAAATACCTTCTCGATAACCCCCAAGGGTAGCTCAGTTGGCAGCTGAGCTCCCAAGGGATTGCTTGGTGCAGGGATCAAATTCTGCCTCAAGCAGTTTTTTGGAAAATCTTTGGGGGTTAGAGGATAAGCCAA